CCTGGGCCCCCCCCCCCCCCCCCCCCATGACTAAAATATTTACATGCACAATAAACTATTTGTTTACAAATGTTAATGCAAAAACAGCTATTTGATACAACATCATGAGATTTTAAGAGTGCGTCTTTAAGTGGTGTTTTGCAAGTTTAAGACAATATAAACTAAAAGAGCTATAACCATAACCAAACGTATTTAGCGATGTTATTTTTGACTAGAACAAAATCAATTAAATAATGGGTTACCACATGAATGACATTTTAGTTCATTTTTTCTATTTGAATTTGAGATTTATACTCATAGACAACCAGGGTCTACAGATTTATTTGCATTTATCTCTACCATCTACATCCTTCACCATTAGAAGTGTGTTGGTTACTTTATAGCAATAAAGTTAGTGGACCGAGTCGTGTTTTGAAAAGGAGCGCGATAAATGAGCACACAAATGTATCTAACAAAGACTTTGTAATTAATTTCTAAGTCTTGTGAGGTTATTCCAGTGCAACTTCACAAAGCCAACAAGGTGTGTGGAAAAAGCAAAAATAATTAAACACAAAACTAGCAATTCTTGTGGAATGCACAAATCTAGGAATACATTTAAAAAAAATACCTATTGTTTATTGTGCTAACGCATTTCGGCGAACATGCCTTCTTTAGAGTTAAAAAGCTGAATTTCTAAACCAAACGCATTGTTTAGAAAATGGCAAGAAACGGTTATCCAATTTATTTATTTATTTATTTATTTATTTTCCCATCAAAATGGCTAAACCAAATATACGCTTGAGATATTGTCTGTGGCCTTGGCTTTCATTGTCTAGACGACCACCCCGAGTTTTAACCCCTTCTAATGGCGCACAGAATGAACCCTGAGAGAAAACCCGTGCCATTTTTCTATACATTCACAAACCCCGAATCTGTCTCACAACACATTCCGACATTCTCGCATGAAACATTCAGTTGTTTGAGTATCGCCTGAGTATAGCTAAACAAAATGCATTTTTAATAGAAACGTCTTTCGTCAATTGTCTATATTTAAATGATCTCCAAAGGTTTACATTTGTATTTTATTTTGAATTAGCTACTGAGAATTTTATTTGCATTTTATGTTTTTCTATCAATACAGACAACATGTCAAATCTTAAAACTGTGATTCTCTATAGAACAAATCACATTTAAAATAATTTAAACAAATCAATGTTTCTAGTTATGACAGGTCCTTCGTTAAGATGTAACCTACAATATAGTCGAATTCGGACTGGTCGTTAGCTAACCGACAACATCAAAATCTAGATAAAAAAACGAAATGCAAAGAGAAATTAATTTCCCCCGGAAAATACTTGCACATGCAGTTCAATTTTTGTTCTTTAGATGGCGCAAGAAACCAGATTTACTAATAAGCAAAGGACTCCTGAATGGTTAAAATGCGTTCACTCTCTATTCTACGTGAGCGCGCTTGAGACATTACGTCAACACAACAGACTTTACACAAAGGTTCCTCAAATCTTGCCCTGGAGGGCCAATGCGCTGCAGAGTTTAGCTCCAACCCTGATCAAACTCACCTACCTGTGATTTTCTAATGATCCTGAAGACACTGATTAGCTTGCTTTAGTGTGTTTGATTAGGGTTAGAGCTAAACTCTGCAGGAAAGTGGATCTCGTGGGCCAGATTTGAGGATCCCTGCCTTACACAGCCGACGCAGAAAACGGAAACGTGAGTTTGGAACGCCTAAACACATTACCATTGTCAATTCTTTGGATTATTGTGATTTGAATAATCCGAGAAGTTATGATCTATCCCATCCCATATGAGAATGGATATGGGTGTGGAGATACAAAAAGAACCTGAAAGCCTTCTAACATGTATTTGTTTACATGGAATAATAGCCTAATAATAATAAACAACTCTTCTGGAAATGCAAAGTACATGAGACAGTCGTTACAAGCAATCATATTAATATACCATGGAGGTTGTAAGATGCCTACATGATAATTCACACGGAAAAAATACGGTTTAAATATTTTATAATTAGTTTATATTATTGGCCTATATACTATAGCCGATTGTATCCGTGATAACGCGTAGTTTGAGCAGTCAACACAATTTAAAGTTTACCGTTGTATTCCCATCTTGATAAAAAAAAGAATTTCCTGTTCAATTTAGTTGATCATAAGATGTAATATACTGTATAATGTGGCAAACCACAGCTTCGTGCTATGGATAGCTAAAGTAAAGAAATAAAAAAGAAATACAAAATTACATGTCTGATCTTGTGCGTGTGGCTTCTCCTATATGCCAAACAAAATTACAAATATTGTAATTGTAATGTACTATTTTAAAAAAATAGGCCTACTTTACTCCAAAAATTAAATGAAAGACCAGATCGTACCACTAAAATTCGAGAGGGTTCAGCAGCAGCAGTAGAAAGCTGTAGAAAGTTGTCTAACAAAAAAAATATTCCAAATCCTATTTGTTCTAAAAGAACTCAAATTTTTTTGGGTTTGTCAAAAAAATTTCAAATGTGTTTTTAAGAAATAATATATATATATATATATATATATATATATATAACATCAAGTTAAATCAAATTACACTTTCTGTCTGCTATGTCATAAGACACCCATCTTGAGCAAAACACGGCGCAGTGCGAATTAAGTTTTTTTTCTTTAAGATTGATATTGATTGCAGTAGGATTGGTTTAAACAGAAGAGGCTTGATAAACACATGATATTCATTAAAGGAATCTTACTTGTAGACGTATATTATATCGTCATGTGTAATTTGTATAAATTAACTTTTATCTACAAGTCCTAATTTCTGTCTCAATTAATCCAATACTCAGAAACTAAAATTTTTAATATACGTAAATATGTAATTGAACATTAACTTAGCACTTCATTGTCATAATCGACAAGCAATGTAAACAGATCCAAGCCATCTCAACAAAATAACAAGATCCAAAACTTTGTTGTTAATAATAGAGTTTAAAAAAAATATATTGTTCCTATGTTCGGTTATTTTCTGCAAATATTTTATTGCTTGAGTTCATTTTTGCTTTCTTGGTTTTGTTTTATATTATTAATACACATACAATCTATGGAAAATAACTTTTAAGACAGGCAAACGTAAAGTGAATGAGTTATACATTGATACATAACAGATTATTGTGTGGGATTTAATTTGTACAATTATTTCTTCTCAAACTTTATTAGATTGAATTAATAACATGACCAAAACCAGCCGCTCCACTTACAAATGTACATCAGAAGATGGCGCAATTGCTCTGTCATACGGCTGAGGTATGCAGTCACCTAGTTTTCGCAGGCACTCAAAAGCAAATCCAAATGCATCAATTCTTGTTTCAGTCTATGGACAAGAAAATAAAAAATATAAAAATAGTAGCCTATATTAACGAAGACATACATCTTTTACAGTCCATAAAGTTGTGGGCACCATCCAAAAGGTTAATTACGTGCTTGTACCAACTCCTAGATTTACGAAGAGCTGGTCAACATGTTAAATTTAATTTACGTTCATGTTTTGTATTTCTGCCATATTAATAGTAATATTATCGTGTGGTTGGATGTTGCAATAAAAAAGTAAAAATTATTACGTCGCCATACATATTTTTCTTATGAATGGTTTATTAGGACGCATTTTGCGCAACACTATACAACGACAAAACACACTTAAGGTAGGCTACTCTTTAACACACAAACACACAGCAAGTCTATATTGTACATTATTTTGGCACAAACATAACCACAGATTGTACTTGGCCTTAATAAACTACAGGCTCCATACCTCATATTCTCCAGCATGAGACGAAATTTTATGAACTTGAGATTTCAAGCAAAGCATAATTTCAATCATAATCGACACTGGAGGTGGTGAAAGAAAAGTCGTACCACACTGTAAAGAGTTACAGTATCACAATTTCAATATCCAATGTTTATCTCTCCACTAGATATTTTGGTGAGCAGAAAATAATCTCAACAAACAAATTGATCTTTTGGCCCTCTTTGTCTTGAGTTGGGAATATGGCCATACACTGTTTGCAGCCCAGAAATGACGCACCGCGTCACCATCAACCCTGTCCGATCCAAAGTGGTCACTTCAAAAGCGGTAGTCCAAGGAAAACAAATATTCGTTAAAACGTCTATAATTTCATAGCCTTGAGTATGTGTGGGCCATCGCTGTTTAAAATTGTCCAATTGCATTTACACAGAGCAAAGCTAACTGTTGCTTTTGAATTTGTTGACGACTTTTTTCTCCTTTACTCGTCGGTTCTGGAACCAGATAGTAACCTGTCGTTCAGACAGGTTGGTCTGAGCGGCTATCCGCCTGCGTTTGTCCTTGGTGATAAACTTGTTTGCGGCATACTCCCTGTCAAGCTCCTTCAGCTGCACCTTGGTGTATGGAACACGTTTCTTCCTCCCGCGGCGAAAAGAGCTACCGTCTGCCCCTCCGTGAGACACTGGTTCTGAAGATAAAAAATTACAATACAAGTATTCAAATATGTTTAAGGATAATAGTTTAAGGTTATACGGGCAACATGATCGTACTGTTTTGACAGCTAGAAGAAATGTATTAATACTATGGAATTTTTGTTTGTTTCTTATTCTGACATTAGCCTCACCTGGTATAGACGACTTCCACAGGTTTCCCGTCTGTGGCTGCTCTTTGGTGCAGTAGACCTGCCCGTTCCAGCCACTGGCTGTGATAGCCCACGGTTGGTAACTCTCCATTGGTAATAAGGACTCATGCCGGGACTCAGGCCCGCTCATTGCCTGGACTACGGGCACATCCAGATAGCTCGGAACTGGCTGATACGGGCTCGAGGCGTAGCTCGAGTAGAAGGCAAACTCTTTGGCGCGCGAGGAGGTGTAATCTTCGCATGTAGAAGCGGACGTATCTATGTATTTTTCCCCGTAAGGTGAGGCAGAGGCGGGGGACTGGGCGCATGTCTTCACACCTCCACCGCCCCCATGGTGATGGGACATTCGGCAAGGATAGTATCCACCACCACCGAAATATCCGTAGGATATTGAAGCGCTGGCTGAACCCTGGACGGTTGAGCAGGGGCTGCATTGCTTCCCAGGCTCACCCGCTCCAGCGGCAACCACTTCGCTTGACGGATAAGCAGCGCTGGGAGCAAGAGAGGCAGGGTGAGCCATCAAATTCCTGCACGGGCTCGGCGAGAAGTTACCTCCCGTGAACCCTTCCATATTCTTGCCGGTGTCGTCCAAGCCGCCACCGTTATCATAGAGAAACATGACCGGGTCAATCCAACGCGGGCGGAGAAGCAGTGACGTTGTCATAGCCCGTCGGACATTGAGACGTATGGCCCCGAGACTGAAAAAGAGGACACAGTCGATTCCGCGAGAGTCAAGAGACTCTGACGCACCCTGCACACAACCAGAATCACGCCTGGATTGGCTCAAAACTGGTCATGTGATATGTAAACGAGGACGATAATCAGCTCAAGTGCTAACAATTAAACCGAGCACAAATGCAGTGATGTGAGAGGACAATATGTCAAAGGATTTCATCCATTTCAAGATGCCCTAAAAGATGAAGGGACGCGTAAGTAAATTAACGAAAAATGGCGAATGCCCTCCAGCTGTGGTCCTTCATGAGATTTAATCTCTGTATCCACTTTTTTGAAAGCCTAAAACAAATGTTGCATTAGTGTTTTGTTATTTAAAACAGCCCTGTGCGCCGGGGTAAACATTGAACGAATACTGCGTAATTGTAAGCGAATAACATCATTCCAGTTTATTTTTGGAAACATCCAATACGTTTGACAGTCATTTGTGAGTTGCTGCTATTGTGTAGTCCTTGGTTGCCCTTCAATCAAGATTACGGCTTCAACAGACACATTGAAAATTAATATATAGGCTATATTAACATAATACACACACACACACAATATATAAAAATAAAATTTTATAAAAAATGTTGCTCTCTAAATGTTTGACTAATTTCTATACATCATCAAACATTAGGCTGTATTCATTCAACAAAATTGTAAGCATTGCATGTCTTATGATGCAATACAAGTGTGCTAAAGCAAGCCAGGTGTGCCCTTTAACGGTCAACAACGATATCTACAGGTTATTTTTACGATACTTAGAAAAATGGTTGCAAGTGATGGCAGTTTAAGAAAAAGGTCCAATTTAAAAACCTGACATGAATTCCTGCTGCGGCGGCTTCCGTTTTGTTTACAAGATGCGGAGACAGAGAACACCCCCTGTATAAGACGTATATTTTACGTGTGGGGCTTACGCGTCTGCAGGCCAAGGTCAAGTTGAAAGTTGCCGTCTGGCCGCAACACTATGCCTGTTGGCCTATTCAGACTTTGATGGCCAGCCTAAAAGCTTACAAAGGAAAAGAGTCGAATGGTGAGAAATCTTTGGTGAATGAGATACGTGACAGAAGCCTTTTAATTTTACTGGCCTGCCACTTCGTATCACAAATGTTAGCGAATCTGTAAAGAATAATTATACAATTTAACACTCTACTTTCGCTTTTTAATTTTAACCAGTAGTATGTGGGTTAGAATGCATCTGTTTTTTTGGAAGGAAACCAAGCTTTTAGGTACGAATGTTGAAAACTAAATAGTATTGTATTGTATGGGCGCCGATTTTCTGACTGCTCAAATGCAGGAACAAAAAAATCAACACACTCTCCTTTTGGTTCTGATGTTGCATGGAAATGGTGAGGATTTTTTTCTGCAGAAATTTCCAACAATAACATTATGAATTAACGTTGTTAAGTGTAGTTCTATATATTTAAATAATGCTGATTCATAAAACAACACACTGTGAACTCGAAGAAAAACGCTGCCACGAGTAGTTTTGTAAAAAAAAAAAAAAAAAAAAGTGTAATTACTTCCTGATGTGTAAACTAAGCTACTTTTTCTTGTCTGGGTAGCTCGGACATTGGCTGTTTGCTGGTAGAAAACTATACAACCCCGTGCATGTGAAACATTCCCTATGTGTTTTTTCGAAGATGATACACTATAAGAAATAGGCCTATACACAAGAGACTAAGGTGGGCAATCAAATTATGAATTACAAAAATTACATAATTTAAACATTTTTATGTAGCCTAATTTTATTTTCTGATTATTCCACACGGCTAATGAATTAGCATTAATAAAATGTGATGACAATGCAATGATGACAAAATTAAAAGTGAACGCTATTGTCTTTATCGGACGATGTTCAACAACATTACAAGAGCCTGCAGAATACCCATTCATTACCAAATACTCATTATAAAATAAATTGCCAAAATAAAATGAAGCTTATTTTTTGTCCATAGAAACACACAGCACGGGTTACATTATTATCTTTAAAAAACGAATATTGTACTAAGATTTCACGCTGTGGTGAACTGAAATTGGGGTTTAACGAGATTTTTTGAAAACTAACTTACTGTGGGGTGCGCATAGCGCATAATAGTGTTATGATCTATGGACAGCAAGACTATATGTTGGATAACAATAATGTGAGATACATGTGTGATTCTAAGTATATAAAGCAGAGTAGGAGTAGTAACACATTTCTTATATCACAATGAAATTCACTCCCATGTTTTGGGTTATTTCTTGTTTAGGCAACAACGCGTATTTGACAACAACATCGAAAGGGTGATTTGCATTGCAAAACCAAAATATTTTAATATAACATTTTTTAACATAAATTTCCACTTTTTGGCCTCAGCATCATCTGCAATGAATATTTTAAAATAATTTTACGAAATAATACAAGTAACCACAAACAACATGATACTGAAGAATAATAAAGCCATGCGTTTATTATCAACTGGGATTGATGAGAGCCTAAATTAATTTTAATATTTGGATGAAGATGCACGATGCACTGAATCACACAAGTTGGAAAGTAAAGTGCATTTCATAATAAAGAGCATTGGGCATTGCTCAATCACCAAACATGATCGGCATTTTAACATTTCTTTCTCGGTGTAATAATTATTAGTGTTTAGTTCAAACAACAAAAATAATGTTAAATAATGGTGCATTGACAGACTTTTCTTTTTTCGATTAGAAAATCAAAAGATGCTGTCTTTAGTTTTACAAGCTGTTTCTCAAATTCTTTGTTGCCCGCATGTACAAATTATAATGCATTTAACGAATGCCTAAAACGAAATAATCAACGGTACTGATGCACAACAAATCATACAAAGCATATTTTATCTCAATTTTATCTAATTTATGGCTAAACTGAACACTTCAGATTTAAAATTCACAAATATGTTTTATTTATATTGTGTAATATTTTAAATCACCTACAGTAACACTGGAAAAAAATTCAGATTCAGTGCATTTGCATGCAGAAAATCATATTGAATAATGACGATGTTTAAATTTTTAAAATGAACCCTTAATGACTAATCCATTCACAGTTTAATACTTGTTCGAGTCAACTGTTGTCTGTAAAGAAGCCCAAATTCAAGTAAGGCCTTGAAAATAAGGTATCTCTCGCTCTCATTTTCGATCAGCAGTTTAAATAGACACTTTCGTGAAACTCATTTGATTCGTCTTTTATTTATCCAAAATACCGTAATAAAACACAAAGCGTTTGAGTTAAAGACAAATTCAAAGCATTTATTAAATACAAAGTTCATAACATTAAGTGTTGCATCTAAGACAGTGGAAGTTTTAAAATGAATTGAATGAATTATTAATTAAATTATGATAAATGGTAGCCAAAGTACAAGTATTCTGACATCCGACTCTTAAGATACGCGTCCTTTAGTTGGCCACTGGATCACTGCAGACGAGTACTAGAAGGTGTTCTTTTAACAGAATGCAATAGTTTTTACTTTTAATAGTTTACATTTTGTGCAATAGTTCTGCTTAGAGCATTAAATTATTACACGTTTCTGCTAACACTGGCCACATACTCACCCTCTGAAACTTTTAATATCAAAGTGGAGTTGTAGTGGAGACGACATTCTGTGCACGCCATGGTCAAGTTCAAGTTGGGCACAGTTGTTAAACCTCTAGCGGAAGTTTGGTGAGCACTATGGGCGGATCTGGTAAAGTCGACGCGCGACAAGGCCTAAAATTCCCCTCTGATCTGCGCTCACACACCCGAATTACGGAAACCGCAACATTTTATGAGTCTGTTATGTTATTTAATCCCACTAAACCTGACCAGGAGAAAGACTTGTCAATAAGAAACTAGAGATCAGGTTTAGTTAAGTGATCCCATTCTACAAAGAAAAGATTACTTAAATCAACCCAGTTAATCATCCAAAGAAAGGAAACACTTACAAATGTTGCATGTTGCATGGTGATGCATGGTGGTCAGGGAGTCATGACACTGGAAGTGAAATTGAATCAAAGTGGAGTTGTAGTGGAGACGACATTCTGTGCACGCCATGGTCAAGTTCAAGTTGGGCACAGTTGTTAAACCTCTAGCGGAAGTTTGGTGAGCACTATGGGCGGATCTGGTAAAGTCGACGCGCGACAAGGCCTAAAATTCCCCTCTGATCTGCGCTCACACACCCGAATTACGGAAACCGCAACATTTTATGAGTCTGTTATGTTATTTAATCCCACTAAACCTGACCAGGAGAAAGACTTGTCAATAAGAAACTAGAGATCAGGTTTAGTTAAGTGATCCCATTCTACAAAGAAAAGATTACTTAAATCAACCCAGTTAATCATCCAAAGAAAGGAAACACTTACAAATGTTGCATGTTGCATGGTGATGCATGGTGGTCAGGGAGTCATGACACTGGAAGTGAAATAATTTGTCGTCTCTTCAACATTTTTCCGAGAATGGTTTAAACATGACTTACTGATTAATAGGCCTACAGGTGATAGTACATCCGTTTCACGCGTGCAGTGAATGCAACTGACAAAACATGGATATTGCTAAGCTTCGTGGGGAAAATATGTAGAATTGGGATTACACTACAAAATGAAATGGTAAACGTACACAAGATACTATTTCTCACAGAGGAAACTTTGTTGAAATATCTGTCGTTCGAAAAAAAGTGTCAAAAAAGTGTCAGACAATGAAGACAGTCGTAATTAAAGAATCAGAGTATCATTATTACTACATAACTGAGGAGAATAGCCGCTGTAAAATGCCAGGGTATTATAAGTTTTTTTTGCGGAATGAGCAACATTTAGTATGGGAAGAATATATGAAATTGATATATTCAAGCAGGTCTAGCCCATAAAGTCATTGATATAGCGAATTTGTCCGTTTAAATACTCGACAAAATGTGCTTTCCAAGAGAGAATGACAAATACATGATTGTTTAAAGTTCAAGGACGCCTGCAAGGACCGCCAACAAAAAGGTTTATTGGCGTTGTAGGAATGTATACAAAATAAGACACAAGGAATGTGAATCAGGGTCCAAGTGTGTGAGCC